ACACCCTCAGCGATGTTGGCGACAACCAGCGATGTCTTGACGTCCAAAGTGGTTGATTTGATGCAAGCGACGAGCAGCAACCTCCCATCTTGCTCGCTTTCGAGAGCTTGACATGCTGTGGCATACTTATCACACCAATACCGCCTCTCGGAGCAAACCCATCTGATTCTGAGCAAGGCGATGAACTTGAATGTTAATGTCAACCACGACGACTTCTTAAATGTAGAAGAATGGAGGAGGGAGGACTGCTAGGCAGGCCGGGTTGGGAAGGAAACGGTTAACGACAGCCGGCTTCTGTGCTTGCTTGCTAGACTGCAGCTGGCAAGCAAGGACTTTGAAGTCGGCTAGCTGTTAGCTAGCAAGGAAGCCTAGCTGCAGAGGAGGGTTGTATCCTACGAAAGGAGCTAGTGCTTGTCGATTAGCGTTCGAGGTAGAGGAACGATAGGTAGAAGTCGAACTACCTAGCTCGTTTAGGAAATATTCTATACGCTAAACCCTAGGGAGGATAGTAGAGTAAGGCTATAAGGAGGGATAAGACGTAGCTAGTCTTAAGTACTATACTATTTTGTATAATACTCTAGATTTGCGACTTGTCGAAGCCCGGCTTTCTAAAATAGTAAGTAAGTATAGCTTAGGAACTAGTCGCGTAATCTCTAGTAGTAGCCTAGGAGTAGAGACTATAATGAAAAATATAATATACCTTCTTACTATAGTAGTAAATATATATTCTATTCCTTCTTATTCTTTACTATCGCTATATAATTCGTTAGTTATTGCGATTTTAATAACGACTAACCGCTAAGTCTCCGAAGTCGTAATAACTAACGGAGATCCTAATAGCTAAGCGGTAAGCCCTAGTATCTAATATAGTTAGAGATATTTTTAATTATCGTATATAGTATTACTTTTTTAAGACTATAATTTAACCGCCTAGGTATATCTCGCTTATCTATTAGATATATCTTAGGATAGTCCCTAGTTCTACCGCTCTACTACTAAAGCGGATATTACTAAGCGCTTCTATAGGGCTAAGGCTTAAAGATAGGTAGGAATAATACGATAAAGATAGAGATAGAGTAGTAGAAGACTATATCTAATAGAATTAATCGCGCGGTTTAAAACTAAGCTCGATAATACTACTATTCGGCGTAGCCGTTAGGATAGATTTCCCTCTATTTCCTACTATACTCGTTTACTATAATAGCTTTAAAAAATCGATCGTAAAGGTTATATTCTAGCTTAGTACTTAATATATCCGAAACCTCCTATTCTATCTTAGCTACTTTTCTTATTCCCGTTATATTATACGTAAGTAACTAAATACTCGAGTAAGTTATTATTTAGCTTAATACTTAACCTATCTAAATCTCCTATTTTACTTTCCTTTTCTATCTCCCCTTTCCTTTTCTTAAAACTTATATCCTATCCTTAAGTAAGTTATTAAATACTATAAAAGACTTACTTCTCGACCTTCTCGCTACTATTATAAGACTTAATCCTACTATATTCGTTACGGCCCTTTTATCGAATATCTATAGAGCTAGTTTTATAGGAATATAAATACTAGCCCGAAGATTACTATCTAGTATTATTACTACCTAGTATACTAATAGAGATCCTAGCTAAGCGTAGCTGTAATAAGAAAAAACAAACTCTAAATATAGATAATCCCTCCGTATCGTATTATATAGCTCTAGTATATACTATATCCTATAGAATATACTATATATACTTATTATAAATTTTATATTATAAAGAAATTCTAGACCTATATATCTAGTAGATACTCTAAAAACTATTCTAGTCTATTTAGATTACTTATAGAAATACTAGGTACTAGGTATAGTAATCTAAATAATTGTAATATTAAATATAGCTATATTTCTTTAGATAGACTAAATTTATTTATATATAAAAGCTAAAGTTGTTTATTTTAAGTAGAAAATTTTAAAAAGAATAATAATAAAAGAATAGTAAAAGAATAGTAGTAGAAAAAAATATTAAACTTATTAAAAGTAGACCCCGTAGTAGTTCGGGTTAGTTTAGTTTAGTTTGCTAAGCTAAAGATCTAGTTTAGTTTAGGTTGGTTTACTAAGCAACTATAGGAGTAGCTAGTTCGAACTATAGAATTTATCGGTTTCTAAGAAGTATAAGAATATCTACGTAACTCGAAGTAAGCCCTTTATAAGATACGAGAGTATAGCCGGTAGCGTAGCCGGCATTTTTTAGTTATAGGAAGGTACTTATATAACCCTAAATCTATAGACAATTAGCTAAGAGCACTAACTAATTAAAAGCATATATATATATATAAGCTATTATAGTTTAGTTTAGAAACTGCACTTATTAGGTATAAATTTCATCCTTTCACTCGCTATTTAATTCCCTAACTGCTCGGTAGAATATTATTATCTAGATCTAGGTAGAACTTATCGATTTCCCTAGAAGCCCTTCTTAAGAAGTTCTAATACTTTCCTACTAAACTATTCTCTAATATTAAGTACTAGGATAGCTCCTCCCTCGGTATCGGTATAGTATATAAAAAAGCTATAAAGCAGCTCTATATAACGTTCTGCTAGTTACTCGCTATACTAAGGCCGAATACTAGTTCGTTCCTTAGAACTCTTAATTATTTAGAAGATATAAAGGGTAGGGTAGATAGTAACTTCGTATTATATAAGGAGGTAGAGGCTACTATAGGGGAGTCCTTTAACCTATAGAAGATAGTAAAAGATATAGAGGTAGCTACAGGTCTAGGTACCCAGTCGAATTTCTAGTAGGTAGAGTATAAGGATATTTAGAGGGAGTATTAGGTAGAGTTACGAAGGCAGGTATTTAATATAGTCTAGAAAAGAGGGATAATGCCTATAACTATAAGTATTTAGCTCTTTAACCTTCCTTATTTTTCCCTGTTTTCTTTTTATAAAAATCTAAACTAATATAAATTAACCGCAATATCTATCTTCTTTTAGTTCTTTAAAAAACCTAGTAGCGTAGCCGGTAGCGTAGCCGGTAGCGTAGCCGGCCTTTTTACTCCTTAGTACTAACGCGATTTTCGAAGACTTCTATTCCGTACGGCTAATAAAGCATACTATACTATATATATATATATACTTAGAGAGTATTTAGAGCGCGGTATATAGCGCCGTATAATAGCGGCTTATTTCGTATATAGAAAAGCTTATAGATAATACTACGAATATCCTTCCTACTAGAATATCTATCTTACCTAGCACTATCTCGAATATAGACATTCTAGCCTTTTAGAATTTGATCGAGTGCTTTAAAATCCTTATCTGTAATCGTAATACGCTTCGCGTAGATAGCTATAAGGGTAACCGCTAAAATAGTATTAGTATAGTTCGAAAAGAGGTAGAAGAGAAATATATATTCGAAGATACGCACTAGGTAGGCTTCTATAGCCTCTTAACGGGCGTCTAGCGCGGAGGCTTAGAAGCGAAGGTCTAGTCTATAATACTAGGCAACTTCGTAAATAAGTCGTCGAAAAGGAGCTTTATAGAGTAGGAGATTAGAACCCTTCTAATACTTCTAAATCTTACGGAGGGCTACGGCTAAAGAAGGATTAGTAAAAAGATAGTAAGAATACCGGCTACGCTACCGGCTATAAATAGGACTTAGTTCCTAGGCGCTATCGACGCTTCGTACAATTATTACTACTAGTAGTTAAAGCGCTAGTCGTCGTCTTACGTAGAGCCTTACCCGATATCGTCTTATATAGAGCCTTACTTACGACGCCCTTTCTAGTACTAGAGCTAGCGGTAGTAGTAGTAGCCTTCTTACGTTAATATACTATACTCCTTCTACTATTTCCGGTCTTATTACGGCCCGTAGAGGTAGTAGGTCCCTTCTTACGAGGCGTCGTAACTTAGTTAAGTAGACTCGGTATTATAAAAGTCGTTAAATTAAAGAAAAAAGTACGTTACGAAGGTATACTAAGGCGCGTATAGAGTAAGGGTATTACGGAGGTAGTAGATATAGAGTATAGAGGTATAGGTATTAATACGAAGGTTAAATAGAGTAAGAGAGGTAGTATCGCGGTATCGCTAGGTAATAGAGTAAGCGTCGCGTAAGCCTATATTATAGTAACGTTAGAGTAAGGAGAGAAGGTAGGTACGGCTAAAAAAGGCAGGTACGGTAAACTTTAAAATATAGCCGGTATATATAGCTAGTATAGTAATAGGCGAAAGCCTCCTCTTAATAAATAGCCGGCGTAATAATAGTATCCTACGATAGTATAGATATTCTTTAGTAATTCCCTTACTAGCTATAGTAATCTTATAAGTAACCTAGGCCTATAACTAGGAAATGTAAAAAATATTAGGTAGGCTATACTAAACAAGCTAGTTATTTAGTAGGAAAAGGCCTACTACCGTCTTTATATACCGGCTACGAGTGCCGGCTATTGCTCTAAATTTAACTCCGCCCTATCTCGGAGGCTAAGGTACTAAGCGGAAACCCTATAGCTTATATTTACTCGGTTATCGCGGAGCGCTTATAAGTAAGGTATTAGAAAAGAGTATAAAAAGTACGAGAAGAGTATCCTAGGATATAGGTCGTAAGTAGATAAGAGTAGTACGCCTAGTTATTTATATAGTACGTTACTTTATATAACTAAGAGCCTATATTATCTCGTACTTCGCTTATAAGACCTCGACTCTACTAATATACTATTAATCTCCTTCTCGGTTGCTATCTTAATTCTTCTTCGAGTTGCTAGACTTAGTACGTATCTATCGCTATATAATAGCGCTACGTATTATAGATAATTAACTCCGCCGTATCTCGAAGGCTAAGGTACCGAGCGGAAATCCTATAGCTTATATTTACTCGGTTATTACGGAGCGATTATAGGTAAGGTATTAGAAAAGAGTATAAAAAGTATAAAAAGAGTATCCTAGGATATAGGTCGTAAGTAAATAAGAGTAGTACGCCTAGTTATTTATATAGTACGTTACTCTAAGTAACTAGGAGCCTATATTATCTCGTACTTCGCTTATAAGACCTCGACTTTACTAGTATACTATCGATCTCCTCCTCGGTCGCTAATACGCTATCTTAATCCTTCTTCGAGTTGCCGGACTTAGTACGTATCTATCGCTATATAATAGCGCTATATATTATAGAGAATCTCTCGTTAAAGTTTCTCTCTTATAGGCTTACTATCTACCTCGTAGTA